ATGATGCCAAAGTTTGAGTGCGCCATGTTGAATGAGAGTGAAGTTATGAAACAAGTTCCAAAACTTAGTATTCAACCTAATAAAATGGGAGAGTCTCAAGGATTCAAAAGTTTGTAAAAATTTTGAATTTAGCTATTTCCTAGAAGAGAGTCTCACTAGGGTAACCTTTAAGATTTCTGTATTTCCGAAAGATAACTTGAAGAAAATCACAGTCAATATCTTAAAGAAGACACTTACTTTACCGCAAAAATGCATTTCGCAAGTTTTCAAGTTTGGAAGTTTATCTTTTACCCGAAGATTTTATCCCCACAGAGAACGATCAAGTAAATCATTATGAGGATTCATGAATTGCTTTGACTGAGGTTTTTTTTCTCCTAACTGTGCGAAAATTGATATACGGAGTGTCCGTAAAGTATGTACACACTGTTTGATCGTTATTATCTTTCCTCCCAGCGAGTCTTTTGCCTTGCTTTAGGTACCGTTTTGTAGAGCTGGCTTCAACTTAGATTTACAGTATGGGTCACCGACCGCTTTTCATTACTGTAAAATTACGGTAGAAACTTGAAACATATGCTGTCAATGTGGAAAAAAACTGCCGTTTGAAAAATTTTCAAAACAAATGTGAAAACTTGTGTAATAGGTATTTGGTGGACGCTGATTTCAATACTCGATTATTCACAAGATTGCAAAGCTTTCTAAACGGTGTAGCCGCACTTTTAGGAACAGAAAAAATGGCCGCTACCTCTTACCCGGCATAACTCTTCAATGAAGCTATAAATAAATTGAGAACTTTACAGTTAGTATCAGCAGCTCCAGTTAGCTTAGTTTAAAAGCTTTCAGGCTGTTTCTTTTCCTTTCTGAGGCAAAATATGGCCTTTCATGGCTCAAAACCCTCTTTGAAGTTTCTACCGTAGTCCTACAGTAATGAGGAGAGATGGGTGACTTATTCTATACTGCAAATCTAAGTTGAAGCCAGCTTCACAAAACAGTACCTGAAGCAAGGCAAAAGACTTGTTGGGAAGAAACTATTAACGATCAAACAGTGTATACATATACATACTTTACGGACACCCTGTATGCATATACAGGGTGTCCCAAAAAATGTATCCACTGTTTGATTGTTAATAACTCTCTTATTTTAAGGTCTTTCGAGAAGCGGTAAAGGCCATTTTGTAGAGCTGGCTTCAACTTAGATTTACACTATAGACTAATTTTTCTATCTTGCTCCGTTACTGTAGGATTACGGTAGAAACTTGAAGGAGGTTTTGGGCCATGAAAGGCCATATTTTGCCTCAGAAAGGAATCAAAACAGCCTAAAACCTTTTACACTAGGCCAATTAGAGTTGCTGATTCTAACTGTAAAGTTCCCAACTTATTATGATGCTTCACTGAAGAGTTATGCGAGGTAAGCAAGAGCGGCCATGTTCTCAATGTTCCTAAAAGGCGCGGTTACACCGTCTAGAAAGCTTCGCAATCTTAAGAATAGTTAAGTATTGCACTCAGAATCCCTAAGAACCCTATTACACAAATTTTCACATCTTTTTGAAAATTTTTGAAACGGCAGCTTTTTCCACAGTGACACCATATGTCCCAAGTTTCTACCGTAATCCTACAGTAACGGAAGAAGATGGACAATTCGCTCTATACTGTAAATCTAAGTCGAATCCAGCTCTACAAAATGGCGCTTACCGCTTCTCGAAAGACCTCATAATAAGAGGGTTATTAATAATCAAATAGTGGATACATTTTTTTGGGACACCCTGTATATTTGAATATTCAGGAAAAGTTGCGGAAAATGAACACAGGCAAAGATGTCGTAGATTTTTGCAATTTTTCAGGCGCGTGTTTAATATTATACTTAGGCCTAAGGCATACCTCAGGCAATTTCGGTCGGCGCTGCAACGACTGTTCATAACTGGTCATAAGCACACTTTGCTTGGGCCAACCTTTGTGCTTTTACAACAACTCACGGAAGCTAGTGCCTATGCAGCTGAAACCCGCGCACGCTGAATCTGTAGACATCTGGCAAATCGCCAGGTCGCGTTGATGTAGCAATTTGACGGAATTGCGGAAAGTATGCCTTAGACCTTACAAATGGTGTTAAATAGTGAGAATAATTGTCTACAAGACGCATCTTAGGTTGGTGTAAAAGTGTAAAACTCAGAAAGCAGAGTTAGTCTGGTGGTTAGTGCTTTACGTCATCCGTGTTGAAGGTCACGGTTTCAATCCTACCCTGAGCCTAATTTCTGTGGCATGCCCACAATTCCAGCGTCAAGATGGCCAGGAAGGGCATGCGACAATCCAGCTAAGAAGCCCCAGGCACCAATATAGCAGACATGTCTCATGTTAGAATCTCGAGTAAAAGTTAGGGCGTCCATCGGAAAAGACGTGCATTCGATGCCGATGATGCTAATAGTGGGCGAGGGTTACTGTCTCAGAAAGTAAACGGGGAAGAAATAAAGTGGTTAGTTTACCGGAGGCAAGGATCCAAAATTTCGCAAATTTTTTGACACGGATGCTACGGTGGATTTTGGGTGTCACATGAAGGATAATATCTCTAATAAAACGGTGCGAGCATAAATGAAAATAGCTCCAGTTGCCCAAAAGATGCAGGAAAAGAGATTACGATTGTACGCGTGCGCAGAAGCATAGGTGCGATAAGGTGAGAATGACTCCTCCAGGGCGAAGGGGGTCATAGTGGTCGCAGCCCTTCCAGGGTGAAGGGTATTTCACTTAGTCGAGAAATTACAAAATGTTTATCGGGAGCGGGGGGAGTGAGAGGAGTGATAGTATTTTCTCATTATTTTTCCGAATCCAAGTTTATCATTTCAAATTCTCTGCCACCATTGGTTGTCCTTTCCAAAAAAGTGAAAAAAGTAGGATTGGAACCACCGTGTACGTTTTCGAAGTTATCATAGAAGATGTGTATGCAAGTACATTTGTTTCGGGAAAGAGGTAGACAATATTTAAGCATTTATGAATTTTTGAAGGAAAAAATTGATAACTTCTGTAGATGAACAGCAACGTTAGCAAGGAAATTATTTCAGAAACCAACTTGTCCTTCGCTTTCAGAGAATATATAGTTTGCTCGGAGTCTGTTGGCAGAAGTCCTGGTGAAGTGGTTTAGTAAGTGATATCCGGGTTCCTACGAGTTTTTAGGATAAAAAATTGATAATTTTTGAAGATGAACATCTTGTACGCAGATGGTCACCCTCGGAACTGCCTCGTCCTTCGCTTTCAGAAATTATGTATTTTGCCTGGTCCGTTAGAAAAAGTGCCTGGTGAAGAGTGGGGGAGTCTCTTATGTTTATCTTTCTCTGTACGCTCAAAGGCGTGCTGGAAAAGCACAATCCAGTAACAAACAGAACCACACATAACGGAATGGAATAATGAAATTACGGAAGTTTATAATAGAAGTTCTCAAGTAGACGTCTTATGATAAAAAACCTCCACCTGAGAAACTTCCATCGTAAAAGTCTCACCCACTCTTCACCAGGCACTTTTTCTAATGGACTTCAGGCAAATTATATATTTTTTGAAACGGAGGACGAGGCGGCTCGGATGGTGACTATTTCTTGCACCAGCTATTCATCTGCAAAAGTTATGATTTTTTATTTTCAAAACTCGTAAAGCCCCAGGAATCACTAAGTACACCCTTTACCAGGCACTTTTTTGAACGGATCACAGACATGCTTTATATTTTCTGAAAGCGGAGGACGAGTCTATGAATTTTCTTTCTGTTGAATACTCGTGAGTGACCAGAAATCACTAGGCACACCTTTTAGGGCACCTCTATGAACGGACTCTAGGCAAACTATTCATTCCCTGAAACCAGAGGGGAACGTTGTACCACAGAACTTTCCTCGCTGACGTTGCTGTGCAGCTACAGAAGCTACAATTTTTTTCCTCCTCGAAGTTCGTGAATGCCTATAAATCTTCTTCCCCCCTTCCGATACACAGACAATTCCCGTACAAATATCTCTTTTACTTAACCTTACCTCACTGTTGATTTTTTCGTGGCTTTTGGTGCAGGGGGGCACCTTGGCCCCGGTTCAGATGTGAAGGGGGGGGGGAGCAAATTCCCAAACTATCGCACCTATGCGCAGAAGGGAAGAAAGATTGTAAGAATAGCAATGGCGATGAAAGCAAAAGACAGAAGGACTAGGGATAGACCTAGGATGAGCTGGTTGAACAGAATCAAGCCAACTGCGAGAAATTAGAATAGAAGAAGACTTGCCGCAAATCGACCCTACATAAGCGGGACACATGCGAGGATAGAAAAAAAGAATGAGCAAAATCTAAACAACCCAATATTTGTTGAAGAGAGAATAATTGTTGAAAAAACACCGTTTTGAATAAGAGGGATAATTTAAGAAATTTGATGAAAAATTGCAAAATTGGGCTATAAAAGCTGTGCGCCGTAACATAACGCTACATATCTTCTTCTATTCCGAATATCAAGATTATACGCAAAGCTTTCGACGAAAAGTGAACGAAAGTAGAGTGACGTTTAAGGATGCTCTCTCTATGCATCCAAAAGTCGTGATGTGCGAAAATGTAACGCATCTGGAGTACTCATACACTAAATTACTTTTTAATTAGCGGAATAATTAATCAAAAACCGTATGTTGTAAGGAGCTTTCGGGCTGACCTGTCAGTGCTTGCGCGGAGTACTTGTGCTTTTGAAGGGCAGACATAGTATTATTGTAATATGGATCGACGCCAAACATAGTTATGTGTAACATTTGTTCAAAAATCATATTTAAGCACTATAGAGTGCAAGTCGGCTCAAGTTTGTTTTCGTCACTGGGAAAGGAGTTCTTATCAGCCGATCGTCTATGCTGGTGGTCTCTGTTTTCCGTTTTCTTTGTTTTTCACCGCGAAAGCTTAGATTAAGGTCTTTGCTACCTACCACTTTTCAAAACAAGAATGTTGCTTGGCGCATTTGCTATTGCTTGCCGGAAATTATACTTCTACTCTGACTATTCTCTAGGCTGATCATGTCTCGCTTGGCATTCGTTCTTTTCACCCATGCGGTGCTGTCTCAGTTTGGAGATGTGATGATGGCTTGCTTGAATCTACTAAATGTTCCCATCAGGAAGATCTTCAACGAAAGTATTTCCTCCTCTTATAATCTCAACCACAAACAGTGAGTAGTTACTCCATTTTTTGAGAATGCATATTTTTTACTCTGTATTGATTTCTCAGTTTGTCTTTTGGTCTCTCTTACTTTTACGAGCCTTCACAAAAAACCAGTTTTCTTCGTTAAAAAACATAGCACTTATATCCATTCGACATCTTTGTAAAGTTACTTTGTAATTTTGATGACTAAACGAGACAAAGAACATCGCTTGGGGCTGATGAAAAAGTTAATTCAGCGAGAGTTGCAGAATGGTTAGAGAAAACGTGAAACCTTATGGAAATGATAGTAGATGATTGAATAATAGGTTTTTAAATGATGAGAATACGCTATTTTTAGAAAAAAACTGATTGTAGGCTCGAACTGATCTACTCTGTTTCTGCTTCCACGATGATGATTGGTGTGTTGGTAGGATTTTTGATAATAAGTCGACTTATGGAAGTGCTTGGAGCGAAGGATACAGCTATAACAGTGAGGTAAGGGACTCAGGTGAAAGGAAGCCAACTGACCAAAGAGTTGAGTATTTATAATAGTCAGAGTAACTCCAACAAAACTACGAGATCAAACACATCGGCAACATAAAATGTTACTCTTGGAGATAAGTTGTAGGCTGTGCGCAAAGATGATAAAACAAGTTTTGGAAATGAACAGAACGCTCGAATTTGTTCGGAGAGGGCTCCTAAAATCAGTTTCATAATCATGCCCTTGAAGGCACTGTCCAGCCGAATAGAGGGTGAATAGATTTTGATGCTACGTAATAGCGCCTCTATCTAAGGATTTTGCGGGAGACCTGGACAATCGCCCATCGCTGTAAAAGATGAATTCCAAAGCAAAAAAGCGCTCCAGAGGAGGAGTTGGCTACGCTGGCTCCGCCCATCAGCGTGGGTGGTTTGAAGATAACAAGCCCAAACTTGGGCTTCAATGTATCCGGGGTGTCATAGATCCGCCGTTCATTACAGTTGTGACAGTGGAATGTGAAAAATTTCGGCGAATTTGCCGAATTCGCCGAATTCGCCAAATTCGCCGATGTCGCCGAATTCGCCGATGTCGCCGATGTCGCCGACTTTGCGTCTTTTCGTCATAACTCCCTTCGTTCTCAATGGATTTTAAATTTGAAGGCAGTTTTGGATTCAGCTCGCCGAGACGAATCTTTTCGTGTATTGAACTGCTATAATCGGCTCGGTCACGGTAAGTGCATGGTAGGAATCCGTTCCATCCTGTGGTGGTGTTTTCTAGAGTGTGTATTTCGGCGCATAATGTAGGCAAAGGCTAAAGAAAAGGAGCGTTTGATAGAAGATTTTCTGCTGAGTGTTTCCAGCAGAAAACCATATCCTTTTTTGTAGTGGAAAAAACAGAAAGGAGTACGTGAACTTAGTAAATATACATGAACCACTTACCGTCAAACAAACATAACTATACAGTAACACTTTGATTAGCAAAACAATTATAATCTTTGTAATCAGCATGTCTTGTTGCTTATGTAAGCAAAGTGACACACCTCATGACTATGATATTCTGCTTTCAGCAAAACTTCACTTTTTTCTGCAAACGCCTCTTTCCAACGCTGTGGGCCAGCCCCTTTCACACTTAAAAGGCTCCGGTAAGGCGATTCGGAAAGAGTTGCTTCCGTAGATAATCCAGCGGTGAAAAGTAGACGGAGACATGCTTTATAAAGCGCGAAAAGAGATGGTGAATTCTGCAAAAATCACGCGCCTTGAAATTCTACTCGCCATTACTTCCTCTAGAATAAGTATATTCTGAATCAGAAAACGGTGCTGTGCTCAGCTCATCAAGGCGGATCTTTTGGTATACAGCATGTCCTTGATATTTCGATTTCAGTATTCTTGAATTTTTCTGCAAACGTTTCTTCTCGAAGGTGTAAAGCAGCGAGCATTGTCCCGAGTAGATTCCAGCAGGGACCTTTTGATAGTACTTTTTCTGTAGATTATGATGCGCTCAACAATAGCCGCAATTTTCTTTTCAAAGGAGTTAGAAGGGCTGGTGAATTCTGGAAAAATCATGTCGTTCTAAATTTTTCTCAACGTAACTCTACAATATGAAGCTCTCTTGCTAAGCAGATGTGATTTTCGTAATCAGCAGGTCGGATAACCTTTATGAGCAAGTTTTCCGAGATTTTCGGGTTATTTCATTTTTTCTCGTTTTACGCTCTGGAAGCTCGCCGATGAATTTTGGTCAAAATGTTGATGCTCTTGAATTGTAAGGAAACTTCGCTTATAGAGGTTTTCGAACACGCTCTTTACAAAAATCATGGTCTCTGAGGATTACAGTGTCTTTTTGGAGAGATACGGTGAGGTAACTGTAACTGCACCACGAAAGTGCATAACTTTGCCCGCACTCCTCGCATATCTCTCAGGAACCTTGCTTGCTTGCTTCTCTATGTCAAAGTGACTAGGAACTGACCTATCGAATGGTGCATGAATCGGGCTCCAGTCTATAAAATTCGCCGAGTTACAAGCCTACGAAAACACGCCCTCATGAAATTTGCACAAAATGTAAAGATCGCTTACTTTGTTGAAATTCCACCGTGAGTGGTTGTATAAAACGCGGGCGGGGTGAACGTAACATTTGCAATTAGTCATGCAACCACTCACGATGGAATTTCAACAAAGTACGCGATCTTTACATTTTGTGCAAATTTCATGAGGGCGTGTTTTCGTAGGCTTGTAACTCGGCGAATTATAGACTGGAGCCCGATTCATGCACCATTCGATAGGTCAGTTCCTAGTCACTTTGACATAGAGAAGCAAGCAAGCAAGGTTCCTGAGAGATATGCGAGGAGTGCGGGCAAAGTTATGCACTTTCGTGGTGCAGTTACAGTTACCTCACCGTATCTCTCCAAAAAGACACTGTAATCCTCAGAGACCATGATTTTTGTAAAGAGCGTGTTCGAAAACCTCTATAAGCGAAGTTTCCTTACAATTCAAGAGCATCAACATTTTGACCAAAATTCATCGGCGAGCTTCCAGAGCGTAAAACGAGAAAAAATGAAATAACCCGAAAATCTCGGAAAACTTGCTCATAAAGGTTATCCGACCTGCTGATTACGAAAATCACATCTGCTTAGCAAGAGAGCTTCATATTGTAGAGTTACGTTGAGAAAAATTTAGAACGACATGATTTTTCCAGAATTCACCAGCCCTTCTAACTCCTTTGAAAAGAAAATTGCGGCTATTGTTGAGCGCATCATAATCTACAGAAAAAGTACTATCAAAAGGTCCCTGCTGGAATCTACTCGGGACAATGCTCGCTGCTTTACACCTTCGAGAAGAAACGTTTGCAGAAAAATTCAAGAATACTGAAATCGAAATATCAAGGACATGCTGTATACCAAAAGATCCGCCTTGATGAGCTGAGCACAGCACCGTTTTCTGATTCAGAATATACTTATTCTAGAGGAAGTAATGGCGAGTAGAATTTCAAGGCGCGTGATTTTTGCAGAATTCACCATCTCTTTTCGCGCTTTATAAAGCATGTCTCCGTCTACTTTTTACCGCTGGATTATCTACGGAAGCAACTCTTTCCGAATCGCCTTACCGGAGCCTTTTAAGTGTGAAAGGGGCTGGCCCACAGCGTTGGAAAGAGGCGTTTGCAGAAAAAAGTGAAGTTTTGCTGAAAGCAGAATATCATAGTCATGAGGTGTGTCACTTTGCTTACATAAGCAACAAGACATGCTGATTACAAAGATTATAATTGTTTTGCTAATCAAAGTGTTACTGTATAGTTATGTTTGTTTGACGGTAAGTGGTTCATGTATATTTACTAAGTTCACGTACTCCTTTCTGTTTTTTCCACTACAAAAAAGGATATGGTTTTCTGCTGGAAACACTCAGCAGAAAATCTTCTATCAAACGCTCCTTTTCTTTAGCCTTTGCCTACATTATGCGCCGAAATACACACTCTAGAAAACACCACCACAGGATGCAACGGATTCCTACCATGCACTTACCGTGACCGAGCCGATTATAGCAGTTCAATATATGAAAAGATTCGTCTCGGCGAGCTGAATCCAAAACTGCCTTCAAATTCAAAATCCATTGAGAACGAAGGGAGTTATGACGAAAATACGCAAAGTCGGCGACATCGGCGACATCGGCGAATTCGGCGACATCGGCGAATTCGGCGACATCGGCGAATTTGGCGAATTCGGCGAATTCGGCGAATTCGCCGAAATTTTTCACATTCCACTGTCACAACTGTATGATACCGGCATCTTTGTCTACCCTGAAGCTCAGTTTCGGGCTTGTACCTTCAAACCACCCCATTGGGCGGAGCTAGCACAGGCGTTCCTACTTTTTGGACGGTTGACTCGCTTCGGAATTCATCTATTGCAGTGAGTCTTACAATTAGGCGATCGCTTAGCTAGGGGCCCCGCTTTGCACATTATCAATCCGGTCCCTCTAGTCTGGGTGGACGGCGCGTTTGAATGCATTCGTAGACAGAAATAATCATACGATATGAATATGAATGTAGATCTATACTGATCGGAAGTCATTTGATCGAAATAAGGTGGAGGTTATTGATTATGGTGAGGATTTTGAATGCCTTCTAGTCTTTCCAGCTTATCTGCCGATGAAATTTTGATGCTTTTGCGACATTTTTCTTAACTATCAGGCCTTCGGATAAGCATGTTTGCGCCGGAGCCTCGAAGCATTCATAGTCTACCAAATGTACTTTTGCAAAGACATTGCAGCCCATAACAAGTAGCGTCCTTTGGCGTAGCTCACGCTATTGCCGCAATTTGACGATCTTGTCGCTGTTTACAGTAAATTCTGCTTTGGTGCGATTGCAGGCTGACGCCCGTGTACACGCGTTGTACTATAAACACTTGGCATACTAACAAGGCGCCAAAGACTGGCTCCTGTTGGCTTTGTTCAAATATGCTCATACCTGGCTGACCTTAAATAATTTATTTCTAGGGAGGAAAATGTTAGAAATTCGAAATCTTATGCCGGGTGGCTGGCTGTCAGGTGGCTATGATGAAACGTTCCAATTTAGATGTTCTCTTGGAATAATTGGATCTGCCTCGATGGTGCTGTCTTTTATCACCCGACGGTTCGAATTTTTCGTGCTAGGACATTTCCTAAGCGGTGTCGTGTCTGCTCTCAAGGTTGCCCTGTTTATTTACGTTGCTGACTGCAGTCCTGACAAAAGGAGAGGTGCGTGGTATTTTGGTAAATACATGCTTTTAGCACTGAGGGACCCAGACTTGGGCTGCAAGTGGTATAGTAGGGAAATTCCATGCTAGTACATATATTGCACCTTTTTTACCATGCTCGTCTTCTCCCGGACGTTCAGAACCTCTACATCGATAAAATGTAGCAGGGTACATTAGGTATATTTTTTTCGCGCTGCTCAAAAACAACGAACGTCGCGCAAGTCAAAGATTTGAGATAGGTTTGTTTACCCTTACTCACAAAATCAGTTCGTTCTCATTCGCATGAAGAAATCTCCTTCTACAAGTCCTTTTTCTTACTTGTATGTAATTTTGTATCTATGTCTGCGTAAATGGTATACGCATTGGCAAATTTTTGGAAGAGACTTATATGCAGATTTGGCAAATTTCTTGAAATGATTGAACCATGTTATCACTTGCGTAGACTGTCATAAGACTGAACAAACAAAAAAAAAAAGAAAAAGGAAATTTTGGTACTTCCAAGACGTCAGGGTTGTTGCGTAATACACTTTAATCGTACTTCAAGACATTGTCTCTTTCCTAGCTCCCAAAAATTACCAAATAGTTGAACTATCTGCAATTTGTGTCACTTAGGTCCAGCCTCGATGATGGTGAACTCAGGAGGAGTGCTAGCGGTGCTCGTAGCAACACCTGCTTGTATGCCGAACTTGCTCGGTTCAGACAGCTCTTGGTTTATTCTGCCCATGTTTTGCGCCGTAATGGCTGCTGCACATTTGCTCATCGCTGGACGCTTTCCCAAAAGTCCTAAGGATTTGTACATCAAGGTCAGTTTGCTGCATGTAGTTTACTTATTCTGCAGGGTATTCCAAACAATATGTGTTTGATTGTTGATAATTTTTTTGTCATGGAGTCTTTAAGAAGCTTTAAAAACCATTTTCTAGAGCTGGCTTTCTTAATTACTGTAGAATTACGGTAGGAACTTAAAAAAGGATTTTGAGCTATGGAGGGCCATATTTTTCCTAAAAAAGAATAAAAGCGAACTGAGAACTCTTACACTAGGCTAATAAGGGTTGCTAATTGTAACTATGAGGTTTGATGCAGAAAGTTATGCCAGGTAAGGCCAGCTATAACAGCCGATATTTTGATGTTCCAGAAAAAAATGTAAGCTTCACTATCTTGTACAAGGTTGAGCATCTTAAACTCAGCGTCCATAAACATCCTATCACACAAGTTTTTAGATTTTTTTGAAATTATTTGAAATGAGCGCTTTTCACAGTGACATCAAACACCGGATCTTACCGTAGTCCTACAGTGTTGAAAAGCGTGATTTGCTCCATACTGTAAATCTAAGCTGAAGCTAGTTCTACAAAATGGTACCTAAAACTTTTCCAAAGACTTTACGACAAGAAAGTTATTAACAACCAAACAGTAAGCACATTTTTCTAAGAGACCCTGTATTTTTGTTTGTCATCACGTCGGGCACTGCTATTTTTTAACAATAAATTTGTAAACCTGAACCTAAAGTTGTACATGAAAGTTTGTTAAGATATAAAAAACAAGCCAAATTTTGATTTTGAAAATATTCGCATCAATATTCGCAGTTATAGGAGCGCAACGAAAAAGAAGCGAGAGCTGCATTGGACTTCTTCTACGAGGACCATCACGACATCGGTGAGTTAATAGTTGTTTGCAGACAGTCAGAGTGATGCATGAATTCTGTATTTGCTTTCTTCTGTAATAAATTCTTCCGGCTACACCAAGAGTGTCACACATCTTTTATATTTTTATATCTATTTTTTAATATTTTATTTGAGTTTGGTCCCGAATCGCTGCTCCTTGTTTGTTTTACCTCTTCATTATTGAAAACTCTGATGTCCTTTACGTCGCAATTTCACATCTATTCATCTGACATGACATCTGCTCACTTTACTTACGTCCACGAAAAACTTCTCATTTACTTCGCTATAACCTCATCATTTCATAACTCTATGAACTAGTCTCTATGCTTTTACAGCTTCTGTACCTTTCTGCGATTGTTTCTTAAACTAAACTGCTTGTCAAAGGCTAGCCTGTCCGTTCAAATTTGTGTGCTGGCATCTCCTTCTGCTTCGAGGCTGCTTTGAGACCTCCCAGTTTTGCTGGCCCTGAAGATTTATGTTCTTCACTTTTCTTGGGGAGAGGGACGGGAGGGGATTAGCTAGGTTCACATTATGAGGCAGAAGGAAATATGAATGAACTTTATGATTCACACTTTCCAAAAATGAAGTAGATTTTTTGTCTTCAGAGAAGCCGCAAAAGCCTTCTCAACTTGTAAACAATAGAGCATCAGGAATTATATTCACCATTATACTGTATGCCGGGGAAATTTCATCATCACCTGCTCAGCGCGCAAAGAAATCGAACCAGCGACGCTCTACGCATTGATGGCGAACACACGCCCTGCGCCATGAACAACCAAGCTAGCATGCCCCTCTGTACAATGTAGAGAAAATCAAGTTGAAGGTTTTATCTTATATATAAAGCTGAATGTCTGTCTGTATGTATGTCTGTATGTCTGTCTGTACGTATGTGCGGAATAGAAATTTTTATTTCTGAACCGATCGGGACCAAACTTGGCACACATATACTTCGGGGCAGGGAGCGTGTCATAGGCTACTTTTCGTTATCGATCGTTATCGATTTTATCGATTTTTTGCAAAATTTGAGCTACAGGGCTGGGAGTTGGCACAGGGGGGTAATCGAGCATGCTGATTACAAATATATTATTGACAGGCCCGGGCGGAGCCGGGTTTGCCAACTAGTTCTATATAAGATTGAAAAAATTGAACATACGTTGAAATCCAGCTCGATCTGATGAGCTACGCACCTTATTCCGAAGATCAGATTTTTAGTGTGAGGCAATAATGACTCGCTGTGTCTTTATTCTTGAAAATGGAACGCTTTTTCATTTAGATGGTGCTATAGCAAAAATGGGAGAGGAAAAATCACACGAAAATTGTCAATCTATGTCACTTAGAGACATCATGGCCGACAAAACATCAAGGTAACCTGCTTTCTTTATCTATTTTGTGAACTTCTGGAAGATGATTTTCTTGCATATGAGTGATACTTGGTTCAAATCGATTATTTTAGAAACTCTCTGATCATCGTCCTTCTCTGTGCTTTGGTACCAGCATTTTCTGCATTGAATGTTAAACTACAGTATCTGATGTCATTGTTGATCACATTCGGACTGTCACAGGGAGAGGTAAATGACCTTTATCAGAGAAAAAATGAAGTAATGACGTAAATGTTCTGATAGGTTCAAAAAGCAAAAATTGTTATTTGCAACAGATTTACTTATGTTTATGAAATAAATTTAGGCTACCATGGCGCTGACATTTATCAGTGCCATCGCCGCTCCAATTTGTTTTATTGCACCATGGTTGATCGAGCGTTTTGGAATTCGCAAAATGTTTGTGATGATAACAATGCTGTGCTCACTGGAATGGATTGGATTAGGTGTGGCGCAAGTATTCGTTGATTGCAATACACAGGTGTGCAACATTACTCATTTATTCATTTATTTCGGTCCATAAATAGATAAAATTATCTAAAAAACTTTCTTGAAGGAAAATTTCTTGGTTCCACCAATGAATGCATATCTCACTGGGGTTCAAATTCTATGCCATATTTTTCACTGCTTCTACGCTGATGGGGACAAGCTGCGAAATCTTTCCTAACGAACTGCCATCTCTCAACATTTTTCGGCTAAGCGAACTTTACAAAAAATGTGTTTTCAATACAAAGATTATTTAAGATTATTTAAGTGATCAACATCAAATTTCTGCCATAATTAGCGATAAAACTAGAAAAAACGTTTGGTAGAATCAACCTGACATGTAATTGATAGTAAGTTCGCATAGTGTATCCTGTGCGATTCGTTCATAATAAAGCTGACATTAGAGTAGCCAAAGCAGCAGAACTCCATAACGCAATACAAGAGCGACTGATGAGAGAGTTGACCAAATAAGATGAAATTCAACTGAATTGATACGCTTTTGAGAGGGTAAATGTGATTTTTCACCTTCGGTCGATTTGGTCAACTTAGCCTTTAAGGACCGCGCACAGCGTGAAACAATCAAATCCTTGGGTGAGAGCTATATGTGATTATATAGCTCATTCACTCAAGAATACTCTCCAAATCCGCACCCTTCTAGATGTCCTGGTTTTTGGGAAAAAAAGGTTTATACGAATATGAAAAGACTTGTGGGACAATCTGATAGATATAGTAAACTAGTGCAAATAAATGAAACTTTTTTTAATGTTTCTTCAAAAGCTTTATCCTGAAATTTGAGCACGTGATATCCTCGGTAAGCGCCATTGCTGGTGCAACACTTGGACAGTGCGCTTTCAATCTTGGTCTGCTCGTCATGTCGCCGGTGATGATTTCAGAAGTCTGTCATTACAGCAATAGACCTGCTATAACCCAGGTTTGTACTCTTCTCAGTTTTTTCTGTCCTTGAGTGCAAAGTTAGCAGTGACGTTTAGTTCACGCAAATTCTACCACTGGCGTTTGCGGTCGTAGAGGTTGCCGCTTTTCCTACTCTCAAATCATACTTGGGTGGCATACTATACATCTTTTTCTCATCTTGCTGTGCAATGCTGGCTGTGCTAATGTTCAAAAAGGTATGATCTTTGTAAATAGCTTGTTTTGTCTAAGTAATCAGTTCTCAGTTGCCGCACAAGTCTCATTAATGCAATGGAATCTGTCGAAATGTCGTCCCTTCTTTGCTCTACTTTGTCTGGCACTGTTAGCCATTTGTAATGGTCGTACAGTAAATTTTCAAGCTTTGTGAACTGTCAAAGTTTTCCGGAGTGGCCCTCTCTTTTTTGGCATACAAGCACAAAAGTTGTACAAGAAAAGCATGGATGAGACGAATAAGCAAGAGAGATGACAACGCATTGGATTTTTTTATAAGAATGTTTGAGAATCAACACTGTGATTAGCATTAAATGAAACCGGGAGAAAGCCCTTATTTCTTATCTGAATTCCACATGCTTGCAGTAAAGAACGCGTTGGTAGCATATGCCTAAATTGAATAATGATTAGGATTTGCAAGAATGTCAGTAGAATGGAACTGGAATGATCAATCGAATAGGTTTTGTAAAGCTGTCTTGATCGGTTTGGATATCTCTGCCATTGTCTGATATATGGTCAAGATGCTAGAATCAAAAAAATTGAGAGAGATTAACGCCAAACTTGCGCTGTTAAGTGTAAGTGCAAGTGCGTCCGGGCAGAATTTCGATTTCTATTTTTTGCCTTTCATTCAAAATGCGTGGCCTCAAAAAACCCCATTTTCGAGACAATTTTCTAAGAACCGTGGACGAATGCTCCTAATGCTATCGTTGTCGCAAGCATAAATAGGTAGACACGATTGTGTTTGCCTTATGAAAACACGTCAAGGGCTGAGGAGAGTTCGTTCCAGGAGGCGGGGCGTGCGAAGGAATAGGCGTGGTCCTCAAGGCTCGGCCTTTTCTTTTTAGCAAGGGTTGCTTGGAAGTCGGATTTGCACTATAGTTCTAGATCGAAACCATAATACTCGACTACGATAATATCCGAAAATGTTCAAATCTTCCCTGACGCCGCCTACTTATTTGTACATTTTCGGATACTATAGTAATTGAGTACTATGGCCTCAATCTAAAACTATCGCGCAAATCCGACTTCCAAGCAACCCAATGAGAAAATTGGCGCAGGAAAGGCCGAGCCTCGAGAACCTTCTGGGACGAACTCTCCTCAGTTTGACGTGTTTTCACGTGGCAAACCCCTCGAACACATAATGTCTACCTGTTGATGCTTGCTTTCGACAAGGATAGAATAAAGAGCACTCTGCCACGGTTACAAAATTGTCTCAAAAAAGGGTTTTTTTGAGGAGTTCACGCATTGTGAGTGCCATATTTGGAACCAGCGCTATGAAATTCATGGATGAGACAAAAAAATAGAAATCGAGATTTTGCTTGGACGCTGCTTTTAAGGAGAGAAGGCATGCCCTGCTAGGATAGAATTTGCGTGTAAACAATGATGTACGCTCATAGCTATTTTCCCGCAAGTCGCAAAGATGTGCACTCACAAATGTCCGCATTTGTATCGTGCAAGTGTTGTCGCCACCGCAGGGACACCACACTGACTGTCAACTTTGTAAGATTGTAGGCGCTGTTGCATACAGTAGGGGCACAGGAACTTTCCAGATTAAATGACCTAACTTTGTGGGCAACTAACGCTCTTACAACTCGTGGTGTTGAGAGAGAAATCGACTCTCGGAGGAGTGAACTCTCTCAGAAACGGCATAAGTTGCTTGATGGTCTGAATCATGTTAATTTGCATTCTCAGTTTCCATAAGGAGCTTCCACTTTACGCTATAGTTCATACACTGCTTTAAGATGAGATGATGCTGACGCAGTTGATCGAGCTCAAATTCATCTTGATGTGTACATACTTATTAATCTTCCTTATGCCATGAACTAGAGCGTCATTCAGATGTCGAGTACAACAAGAGTGTCTGTAGAAGTAAACGGAGTACGGAAGGATATTAGTCCGCAATCCTCATTGAATAGCACCGCACGCGAGCAGATCAACTACGGAGCCTTCGATTAGATTCGCTGTGTGCGGTTGTGAAAGAAGATTGAGGATCAGGGCTTACGAGTTTAGATTTAGTAGGGCAATCAATACAGTAGCTTTCTCATGACGTTGGAGTAGAGCAATCAATATAATGGCTTTCTCATGACTTTGGCTTTACGTTGCAAGCTTTTAGCATTGTTAGTATATATATTCACGCTGACTTGTAGATGTCAACATGATTCATTCTCAGGAACCTAAGAACTTTATATATACTTCAATAGATTTGCAACCTTTTCATTTCTGTTTGTACATATAACACTCGTTATTAATTTGTCGTGATATGCTTATACGAATCTCCACCTGCGTTGTATTATTTGTGATACCGCTTGCCAGATAAAATTTCTTTCTTCTTAACCACACCTTTCGTGTGCAGCCCACTGAGTTGTGTACTTCACGTGATTTTGACAAGAGAAGCGTTGAGCTACAAAAGAGCAGAAGGTTTCAATTACCAAAAGCGCACATACGCTCCGGGAACAAGTAGATGTGTGCATGTTTCAACAACGAGATCCCATTAAGAATCAAAAGTTGACGTAAAATAGGCGAACGGGAACCCAAGATGTGTTATCCGCTTTAAAGTCACTTTGAGCAATAGCTTAGGTATAGGAATTACACAATTATAAGGGGTCTGGTATTCTCGTGTGATAAAATTGTTTTCCCTGAGGTAGTCTAAAGCAGGAAATGCCAAACTCTATGGAGAACACGTTCGCATCCAAACGGAATGTAGACTGGATTTTTCATTAGAACAGGACGAGTTGTGTAGAGATATAAAAACTTCACCAAGTAGGTATTAAATTAAAAGCGAAGATAGCGCCTCAATCTGATTGAAGCATTTCTATACATTAATAGAAATTTTCATTTAATCGTTGCTCGCTGTCATTTAAGTATTGTCGCTCAGCAGTCTTTCCTGCTTACCTAACATTATACCGAAATCTGGGACAAATGAATTCAACCTAGTTTGAAGGCTGAATGTAGTAACTAGTATGCCACTTTCTGTTCCAATACACCTATTTATAAGCCTCTACACCTTTGTTGTGCTGAGCAATGTGCGCTTAAGCTCATCAATCGCTCGCTCGCATTCACCGAAGGTAATGAGCGATTTTAAACGAGAACGGTACTTTATGCCTCATTGTGGACATCTGCTGCTCAAAGGGGTCAACGTCTACCTGCACAGCTCATAATGGGCGTCGAACTATGTGCCAGTACCCATCGGCAGTCGTTCATCTTCGGAATTTGATCAGCTGCAGAACATCACAAGCTGAGGCTGGGTTCATACTAATCCCAAAGTCTTGGAACAGTTCCAGCACAGTTTTCGCACTGCTGCATGCGCTGCAGCCGCCCGCATGCGCCCTTGAACGGCGCGAAATGGCATTTTTGATTTTTTAGCGGTTTTGATTGTAAACTTCGCTCATTTTCGTCTCATTCTCGCATTGTGCTTCTTCCTGTGATGTGGAAAATTACGAACTTGAAGCTAAATTAATAAAACTTTTTCATGTTATGTCTTGCGTAAATTACCTATTTTCCTTTGTGAACCCTTTCTTCTTCATGATCCAAACTTTTTTGCACTTCAGATACCCCTCTAACTTCGGAACTTCTCAATCACAACAGCAAGTGAGATACAAAATGAAGTGGGAACGAGCAAAATTTACTATGAAAACCGTCGAAGAAAGTTAAAAATTGTTATTTCGTGCCGCTTCACAACCGCATGCGGCGGCTGCAGTGCTTGCGCACAGTCCCCGCATACTTCCAGCACAGTGCAAGAACTGTTCTGAAATTGGTTCGGAACTTTGGGATTGATATGTATCTAGCCTCAGTGCTATTAGTCTCTCCATTCCTTTCCCTTTTTGGCGAATGTCTAGCACCTGCATGAGTACTCTAAAATCAGCATATAGGTCTCACATAAACCCGTCTATAAGTGGTGGACTGAGGCCTCTCCCCTCAAAAAAGGGTCTCGACCGGCCCTGGACTAACATGGGCGTGATTCGCCTTCGCTTGTCTGAGATTTGGAAGGCTAACCCTGAAGGTGAAAAATGAGCCAAACGAGATGTTGGCTTGGCGCCTAATTTACATGTTATCGCTATTTGGAGCGGGATTTCTAATGTGTACAAAAGGGATTCTACTTTGTACTGAGTGCGAAAAAGAGGTAGCCACTCAATTACACAACAACATTAGGTAGCTGGGTGGCCCTGTATTTGTTAACTTCAGAATTCTCCAAATCTTGGTGCACGGGGCTAATCTGACATGCTAATTACTGCCATAAGAGTGGCTGCCCAGGATTTCCGTCTGGGTGGGGGGAGGGGGAGGAGGAGTTTTATCTTTATATATATTTTTTATATTTTTATAGAATTTTTATCTAAATGAAGGTGCGTGGTGCCAGCCACGCACTCCGAAAAATTTTTTGGGGATACTTCTCGAAATTTTGGCGGGTCCATAACCCCTAAAATCTAAAAAAAGGTGGCGTGGAAGCATTTCAAAAACCACTTTAAATGTTTACGAGAATAAACAATTCACTTGCAATTTCATTTCATTTCATTTTTCATTTCATTCATACGCTCGAGGCGTTCCAAATCAAAAACAATAAAGTGTTAGTCATACATGGAACACAACAGCAACAAATAACAAATCACCACGTCGTCCTGAGCCCAGTCTAAACGACTTACTAAGAAAAGTAATGTAGTAGTAATGTGATGATAAGCTTGCATGACTTGCATCTCGGCTGCACGTTATCTTGTGCTAGCATAGACTCTATGGAGAAGTACCCATGCCCCCTCGTTTGCCAGCAAGGAACGATCTTTATATAATTCATAAAAGCAAACCGGAAGTTCGGGTGGCGGGTATACTGGCAAACCCCGCCCAACACGGTTTGCTGGGGAGGGTCCTGAGCTCCAAGTATAAACAGGAAAGTAGGTTGAGCAAGCGTAGTAAGAATCAGCAAGCCGTATGAATAGTAAGAAGTTGACAGTCAGGCTGGGCCCATAACTACATGGTCTAGTCAAGTTAGTTGAAGAACAAATCTACCAAAGCAGAGAAAAAAAGTAGAGCATGTTGAACACATGCACTGATTGAGTCGGAAATGCGC